CCGTAAAACAACAACCAACCAAACAAAACCAACACCAGCCTAAACTCCCACCCCACCCACCCTACACCAACCCCCAGACAAAATTGATATGATATATCTGTACAAATATTGTTGCGGTCAATGATATAGCGTTCGGTCTAACTACAATAGCCACGTGTCATAATGGAGAAATGAGGAGAATCAGTTGATTTTACTTCTGGAATGAACAGTTTAGTGTAGATTGGTCCGTGGTGTGATGTCTCCAACTTACTCCATGTTATGGTATATACTAGTATATAATTTATGTGTAATTTTGCCCAATGACCTATATTTTGTTCGGAATGGCCAGTGAATTCCTGGCTCAGAACCAACTGAAACAACAAAAGCGTGACGTCATCATTATGGTTCAATGTATGATACACACCACCACCCACCCACACCTCTTTACTGTAACGACAAACATGGACACGTCCATTTATTACCGAGGACTCCACATGCAGTTTAATTTACTTTTTGTAACAGAAGATAAATCATAAACTGTCAACAAAAGCACTAGAAGCATTGTCTACTCCTCAGTGTGAATGTCATATACCTGATGTTTCATCGGTATCACTTTTGAAAACAACGTCGGTGTGGGTAGTTTATGCACATGTATTACAAATGTATATACCTGCCTTGTGTCACTCCGACTGCAAAAAAAAAACGTATAACAAAATACAACGAACACCTGGTGCAAATTGATCACGCTTTGGCGTACACCTTGCCACTGAATCGTTCCGGGGATATAGCTGCAACGCCGCTGTAAATATTTGCATATATTGTATATTGGACGCGTGAAATCAACCACGACTAATGACACAGCCCACGTGTTGCAAGACAGTTGGTGTAGGTTACGGTAATTATGAATGTTTACATATTACTGCTTTCTATATTTGCTTGACATTAACAGGATATGGCTGGCGATAGTTATGCACGTTAAATGTGAGTTGGTCCGCGTGATAGTATTCATGAAACTGCATAATTGTTCATATCAGCGTGAGACACATAATAGTGTCAGGTGTGTTTGTGTTGTTTAGACACAGGTTATTGACGGCTTTGTTGACGTGTTGGTAGTCTGTCTTACAGACCCTGATACATTTATATCAACTACAGCCCATGCAAGTCTATAATGTTTGGCAAGTCTAGATTACTGCAGTATGAAAATGAAGAGAATCACTGGGCTCCCTTTTTATTAGATTTTTATTAAGATAACTGAACAACCGTTTTTTTCTGTACGATATGTTCATTTCAGAGACTATATGTTAGTCTAACGTGTTGGTTGCATATGGAAGAGACCTCAGACCCAAGAGAATAAATTAAACACTGAATCCAACTCAAGTCGAGAATGATTTGGCAGGTCTAGATTGACCCACTTCCTGAAATTAAGAATTTAACTGGGCTCCATTTGGATTTTATTTTTTATTTGTAGAGATGTGTTTTTAAATAAGATAACTTTATTTCTCGGACTATATGGTAGTTGAGGACACCAGTGTGCTCGCGTTCGATTTAAAAATTCTGAACGCCCCTGGTGGACGCCGTTGACCAAAGAATGGCCAACTGAACCCTTGAGTCCCGTCCAACAAAGGGACCTGAGCGCTACGATTGCCGTACGTCTATGTTAAAGTATGGGAGTGTCGATCGTCTTATCGCTAGGATCGCTTAATGGAACGCGGCCCTGGGGTGCGGGACTCTTGTTAGCAGCCTCTATGTGACGTCATCATTAAAGCTTATTAGTGTCTTTGATTTAATCGTGAATAAACGCATTATAATGAATAAAAAGTATAATGAACTAGCCATTTGTAGTATATATGCATTCAGATATGTGTCTTTACTTTGATTGTTGATGGTAATACATTAGAATCAATAATGAAACTGATGATGAAGGGTCATCTCGAATTGGTATTCTACGGAATATTTTGAACTGCCTTGTTGTACATCCATTATGAAAGGATGCATTGTGGCAAAGGTACAGTGGCAGCTTTGTCCGGCATTAAAACACTTGCTAACCACTCGTGACTTTGTTTTATCATACACTCCCCAAAAGATTTGGAAAAAAACCACACGATTCCTTCAAATTACTATAGTTAATCTGTCATGCCCGATTAAAATAGTCTTATGATAGTATTTCTTTGTGTCATTTAAGTGTTCTATTTTAGGTTCTGCAAACTTATCCTTGGTTGACATTGACTGGTTGAATCTTGTCAACCCTGGCTGCCAGACATGTGGTAGCTTCAGTTGACTCCGTTCACTCCCAACGGAGTTGTGGGATGCGGGGTAGAATAGGTCCTCAGCAACCCATGCTTGCTGTAAAAGGCGACTACGATTGTCCAAAGAGGCGTATAACGGGATCGGGTGGTCAGGCGCGCTGACTTGGTTGATGCATGTTATCGTAACCCAATTGCGTGGATCGATACTCATGATGTCAATCACTGAATTGTCTAGTCCAGACTCGATTATTTACAGACCGCCGCCATACAGTTGGAATAGTGCTGAGTGCGTCGTTACACAGCTAACACCAAACGCACGTGGTGTTGATTGTAAAGGGAGATAACTCTATTAGCCTTAGGTGATAATGAATACAGTGAGAAAGGGATGCACTTGTTTTATTTGGTCCATGCTTAGATTGAGTTGTGCAGTGTTCGACTGACAATGTATGAATATGAAATCATTTTAATTTTCTTAGCAGGAATTAATTTTGGGATTGCGCTGGAACCTGGAAAACGACAAACAATATATTTTCACAGATATATTTTTTCAAAATACGGTTGAAGCCCTGCAAGGGTCACCAAAAGGAAGTTGAAATGTTGGTGTGTCTTTTTTACAAACAAACTGGATCAAATGATATGTTTGAAACGCCCGTCCCATTTACAGACATTTACAGCTACGGCCCTCTATTACAATATTCATTTTTAGACTGGGTGTCGAACGTAACGCAACCCGGGATTCATTTTGGAAATGAATACTGAACCAAAATGTTTGTATCTGAACAAAAATCTACAGTATTAATTAATGTACATAACTGATAAAAATTGAAATTCACAAATAAAAAGTACTGATGCATTTCTTTTATGTAGCGCATCAAATGAATTATAGGGATGCAAGTCTGATGACAATGTTGAACAAGTTATTAAAGCGATGCTGACCACTTTTTCACCGAATTTTAAGTTGTCATTTAAATTGAAAAATTAAAGCCGAGAAATTAAATGTTATAATTGATATTGGCGTCGTTAAGGCTACATTTATCAATTAATAACTTTACACACATAAAATACGACACTACCTGCGTTAGTAGTTACAGAACATGTTATCCTTATTATGTACACAAATGTTATTTTAAAATAAAAAATGTGTATTTTAAAATTATGAACATTTCTTTACTGGGAGTTTTACAATATGTGTTGTAAGAGTGTTTTGGTGTGTGGTTTTTTTTTAAATTACATACAAATCAATCCTTACGTTCTTTAAAATACATGATTTTGTCAACTTAGAGTGCAATGACTTTATTGGTTTATATCATATTTACATCATCAATGTATGTTTAATGGAGACTCAAGAAGTGATCAGGACATTATGGTTGCACAACTTATTATGACAGTCAGTACATAGTCGCTATACTGTGGTCTATGTTTAATATTACATATTCTGCTTGGTTTATCATTTTCTGTTTATATTTACGAAACCATATAGCCTAGTGGTTAAAACGTTCGCCTTTATATCTGTTTTATGTTGGTATTAAAAGTAATGTTCATTAGGAGGTGTGCATTAAGCTTGAAATAATTTTAGAGGGAATCAGACAAGAATACCATATGTCTCTCACAGTAGTTAGTTACTCATGTTTATGTCCCCCTGTTAAATTTGCATTGTGTTAATCTTACCTGTGCATGTAATCTTATCTGTAAAACAAACATTAAACATATACATTTTACGAGATTGTGTCCAAGTGTCAGTTCACTTGCATATGCTATCATGGCGGGGAATAGTAAGAGGAAAGCTATCAGTTTAGACACGAAACTTAGAATTATTAATGCTGTTGATGCTGGCATAAAAATAAAGAAAGACCAAAGCTGACGAACTTGCAGTGAAATTAGGCCATGAAGATTTCACGTGTAACACTGCAATTACGTGTATTGTGTTTTGTCTTATCCAAGATGGCGGACGTTTCCAAACGAAAACGTGTATAACGAACTACGGATATAACGAACTGATTTCTGTGGTCCCTTGTAGTTCGTTATATCCGTGTTTTACTGTATGCTCATGGCGTCAATCACTGGATTGTCCGGTTCAGACTTGATTATTTACAGACCGCCGTCATATAGCTGGCACATTGCCGAGTGCGGCGTTAAACAACACACACACACACACACACACACACACACACACCTTACGTTGATGCCAGTTACCCACCGGAACTGGTTGACTTCTGAACTACATGGTCCTTCGTAAATCTTGCACGCCACGGGCTTGCGGGCTTGAATTACGCCCACGTTAGATGAAGAGCTATTCATTTCATACAGGATTTGTTCTCTTTGGCAGACTGATTAAAGCATTATTTTAACTCAATTAATCAGTGTATGAAGAATATTTCAAAACCTCACGGAAAACAGAAACAATGAAGTAGAGAAGATGTTAAAACGATTGCTTGGGGGTTTACAGTCGGAACCAACCTGACACTTGTATGTGTACCTCGTTTTGGTGTCGAAAATCGGACTGTATACGGTCTATCAGATTAGCTCATCTTGAGAATTGCAAGGAAACACCCATTGCCTCAGGCTATAGTCGTCGCCTTACATACTGAAGCACTTATACGTCCCCATTGCATGTAAAATGGTAAAAAAATATTTGAAATGTCTGTTAGACCACGTAAATATAATCTGATATCTCGTCGTGAAATTGGCCCCCATGCTGTATTATTTTTCACAATTGTGTTCTAAATTCGGTTCCGATTCCGCATTTTAAGACTTATTTTTCATTCCGACGTTACACTTTTTGATGTTATCCGTCCTGGCCACCAGTCGTGTTGTTCGTGATTTTGCGAACAGGGAAAGCTGTGAGGTTTTGGAGACGTGGGTAGGTCTATAAACTTGCATTCAGTTGTGAAGTCGGCTTGATGTGTTTAGGAAATCGAAATAAAAAAATATATTTAAACTCGACTCTCCTACCCCTTGATAAACATCTTGATATACACAGAGAGGACGTTTCAGTAAAACTTACTTTCCTTGCTGGGGTTTTGTGTGTGTGTTTCCAGACTTTCATGAAAGTTATGTAACAAAACTGCCTTGTTTTATACCCAAATCTGTTTTGTTCACAGAAAAAAACATTATGATATTGAGCTAACCTTTGCTCTCTTAAATTACGTTCTGGACAATAAAATATGGAAACATATTAACTGGTGTAATTTCAAAAAGCGAACTTAATCGAGTTTTGAAAAGCAATTTTCATAGAGACTGATTCCATCTATACACGGCCAGTGCCCGACGTCTGGTCGGAACGCTTGGGTTGGTTGAGTTGCATTAAATGCTGATATTCTTTCAAATGACCAGTTTACACCCTAGTTTTGGTCTACGTGTATTTAAATGGCTGATGCAAAATCTGAAGCTTTGTGAACCAAATTATTATAAAAAAACGCTATAGCATTGGTTTTGTGGTCTACTAAAGTGAGCTTTTTTACACATTTGAGTCAATCAGAACGCACGTTTGGCAAGTGCATCGATTTATGTCTGTATAAGAGAGTGAATATTGTTTAAGGCACCTTCAGCACTTTGGCAATTGGTCAGAGAGACATTGATAGATTATCATTAAGTCTCTGAAATGAAAATATACTTTGAAGGTGTTTTGATTAAACTCTTCTGAGGATCTCTTCATTTTCATAAAATAAAGAAATCTAGACTTGCCAAAGTGTTGTAGACTTGATTGAGAATTTCTGATATTTTTGTTTCAGTGTCTGTGTGAGATACGACAGTAAACACGTGCTCTTTAGAGGCCGATATGAAATAAGCGATCGCTCGTTCATCACTTGGGTCACACTTATATTATGATGCAATATTGTGATGACAATTGAACAAGTAGATCGGCATAATGTGTGAAGTCGATAGAGTGCATGTGCATCGATTTGTCATGGCGCTTTGACTAACACGTGAGGACCCAGTATATATATATATATATATATATATATATATATATATATATATATATGTGTGTGTGTGTGTGTGTGTGTGTGTGTATATATATATATATATAAAGAAATTCATTACGTTCAAGATAAATGATGCCAATTCATTACGTTAAAGTCAAATGTCAAAAAATGTGTTTCACTTATCTCTCGTCAATTTCTGTAACTTTCCGTTGTTCAAGGACGTCAGTTGACACATACATTACGTTATGTGTAACAGATTGCGACTCAATATTTTACAGGTCAAATGTTATTTACCTACAAAATATATATGATTGGTTGTAACTTGTGTAAACGAAACAGAAAGTCTAAAATATATTTATGACGTGGAAAAACTGAAACCACTGTTCTCAGAACACAGGTTTAAGAAATGTGAAAACGTGGGCACGTGTGGCGTGTACCTTAACAGAAGGATACTTGTGACAATCGAATGATATTATTGGCAGATTGTTTAACGCCGCACTCAGCTATATTCCAGCTATATGACGGCTGTCTGTAAATAATCGGGGCGGTCGGGTTGCCTGGTGGTTAAAGCGTTAGCTCGTCACGCCGAAGACCCGGGTTCGATTCCCGACATGGGTACAATGTGTGAAGCCGATTTCTGGTGTCCCCCGCCGTGATATTTTTGGAATATTGCTAAAAGCGGCGTAAAACCATACTCACTCACTGTAAATAATCAGGACCAGACAATCCAGTGATTGGGATACGATGATATGCATCAACCAAGTCAGCGAGTCTGGCCACCAGATCCCGTCAGTCGTTGTGTATTGATGTTATGAAGTTTGTGATAACGTCCGTGTGTGGAGCGGGTCCCGTGTGCGCTTAGGGATACGTAATATGCTTTAACGTGTATGTATGGACCAACCGTGAGCCAAAAACCCAACACTGTTCGTTTCATTGAACTGTGGCCCTGCACCGGAGAACGACAGGGTGAGGAGTACTTGATTACCCAGGGAATGAATCCATCTGGAACGATCGGCTTGTCAGTGTGTGGGAATACAATTAATACGAAATTCAGAAATTAAAAGCAGGTCAGCCGGCACTGACATGATTGGCAGATGTCACGTGGTGTTGCATTAACGTTTTCACAGAAACATGGCCATGTTAGTGTACACAGAGACCATATACCGGTATACGGTCTCTGGTGTACATCATTACAAGTTATATTTACAGGGTGTATTCTTAGGATAACGTTTCAAGATTTCTTGCACAGTCTCCTGGTTTAAAATTACGAACACAGCGGTGTTGTCTGGGTTATAAAATCGAACAGAGAGCCGTTATACGTTCGAGTGACTGCGTTTCTTATCAGCGGAACATTATTCTCTGGCCCGACCTCAATTTTCCTCGGTCGGTTTGTCGAGACGGTTTGTGAGCAGCGCCACAAGGCGTAGCAGAACTTGCGGGATCGCATTACGGCCGGCCGTGTTGAACGGCACGTATCGCTAGCGCTCGCGTGCAGTGACATCACCAAGCACGATCTCACTTCTCCGAGGGAGCTTTTGTTTGGAGGGCCCAGGACGGGGGGCCGCACCGCGCGGGTGTATTTGCGTCAGCTGTCGAGGCCGGGGCAGGATGGGTGGTTGGAGAGGGTTGTAATTTTATTTGGTTTAGCGATGTAATTTATTGTTAGAGTATTGTTATCATTTTGTGTTTTGACACGAGTTGATGTTACACTTAGACGAACAGCCTGACTTGAAGTAATAAATTAGTACGTTTTAACTCCACACGCCATATTTCAGCTCCGTGTCCCTTTCTCTCGGGGACATATGTAATTTTCTTGTGGGTCCAAATTTTAAAACCGGCGTATGGAGATCAACAAGCGCACTAGACTAACACATCGTCTATGAATTATTTTATTACACAATACATTTCTCTCCTCTTAAAATAAAACAAATAATTTTCCTGATGCTGGTTCCATGTGGCATAGAGCTGGCTAGACTTGCTTTAAAATGGTTTTGTTTTCATTAAATAAATATATTCCAAAGTCATGGTGCAGGACTACAAGCTCACCTTCTGTTTGTAAAAATGAGTAACAATTCATTTGTATATTATAAACTTAATGCTGTTGTCTGTATGATATGGGAAGTATTGATATATTGGTAGCAGTTTGGTTGCCCTAGCAATGCGTTGATTAGGTGCTATATAGGAATACACTGCATACAAGAATAGGTATATGACCCACGGGCATGCCTCTATGTCCATAACTAAATTCAACAAAGCTTTTACGTCCAGTATAAACAAGCATGATATGAATCGGTTTATTTTCCACATCACAGCAATATTTTGGCGCTTCTGGCAACTCTCTGGTTAAACAAACTGAGTCTGACAAATATCATATTTTTGCAAATATATATATTTTGGGTTCATTTTCATCACATTAAAGGTGTGGTGGGGTAGCCTAGTGGTTACAACGTTCGCCCTTCACGCCGAAATCATGGATTTGATTCCCTACATGAGTACAAGCCCATTCTGGTGTCCCCCGCCGTGATATTGCTGGTCATATGATGCCAAACACGGTGTAAAACAATACTCACTTAACTTTCGCGTTGAATTTTTCCCCGGCCGCGCCTTAACAGAATAAATCTATATATATTAAATCTTTCTCTATACATTAAGCATGCATCAGCCATATCCCAATGTGTAACATTAATGATTGTATCTACATGCGTAACTCATTCTTGTGTATGGGCCGGAGGCCTTTTGTCCAATGAACTTCTTTTGACTTTGACTTTTTGACATACCAAAAGACGCCAAAAGATGGTACTTGTTGTGACCGTCTGGCGTTCGACATTAAAAGGCTAAAACAAGGACTGGTAGGCTCGGAGTCAGTATCCTGTGTCTGAGTGGGGTATTTATGTTTAGTTGCGGCATGGTATCTCAGTGTGCTGGCACTATAAAATCGGCATTAGTCCGGACCAGTACAAGCAGCCACACACACACACACACACACACGTGCATGCGCGTCGCTGTATGAGTGCAATAATCTTGGACTCGACATTTCACCTCACCTCGCGTTGAATGGTACAGCGAACTACAAGACGTAATCATTTTAAGGGAAGTAACTTTTGGTATTTGGTTGTCGAGCATATGGTGTTGAAGAACTAAGGGTCTTAATCGGGGCAAATATGAGATTCGAACACATGATTAGCGGATCCTGGTACTGCGAAGGGACCCGCCGCTCGCACCCTTTGAAAACATGCTACAAAGTAAGAAACAACAAATACGTAATAGTTACTTTCCTGGGATTAAATGCCTCTGTCCATTGGATCTTATCAGTTTAATGGTGTAGCTCAGGGACTCGGAACACTTGGCTCCGTGACTAAATTTACACAGCAAATGCTGCGGTCTATTGTCGTTACTAGAATGAAGGGAGCACGGGCGGAGGCACACATGGTTAACGTCTGAGACCTGCCTCACTTCGGGCTTTCCTCCCACATTCAGCTGACACGCCGTGATATCATTGAAAAACTGTTCAAAGAGGGGTTATACCACTCTCATTCACTCACAATTCACTTCTAGAATCAAGCTATACGAATAGAAATGATTGATGGTAAACTGATTTTTTTTGCCAGTCTAGGTAATAATGATTTAATAATCAGCCGAAGGGATGAGGGCAGACAGAAGACTAACATCTACTACTTGGCTCTGAAATGAACATATTTTACAGGAAAAAAACAGCTGTTAAATTATCTTACGTACATATAATAAAAAAGAACCCAGAGACTTCATTTTCAGAAAATGCAGTAATCTAGACTTGACCATAAATATAAACTTGCACGGGCTGCATTGGATATATTTGTTTCAGGGCCTGTATGTGAGACAACGTATTGTCCTACTTCGCTTAGACCCTGAACCCAATGTATCCAATACAGCCTATGTAAGTCTTATATAGTCGGTAAATCTAGATTACCAATGAAAATGAAGAACGTCTCTGGGCTCCTTTTTGTTATATTTTATTGAGATCATAACTCTCTTTTTTTCAGTATGTAAGACCTGTGAAATCACCACGGTTACGTAACAATTTCGTCTCACGCAAAAGGGGTGGGCAATTGTGCTGACTGTGCTAAGTACTCCAGTCAAAGATGACACGACACAAAAAGACAGTAATAATAGTATATTGAAGTATCAAAGAGTTACAGGGTGCAAGTCCTGGCTGCGCAGTCTGGAAGACACCTAAAACAAAATGAACAGATCTAGCTGGCGATGTTGGTGTCCAGGCAGTGCAGGCAGAAAGAGCGTATAAAATATATTTTAAAAGAATTAACAATAATCCAAGTGATATTCGGTATGTGATGATAATACCCAATAAAATCATCGCATCCTTTCTACCACAGGATACATATTAGATCCCACCTGACGTGAGGTGAAAGTCACTTTAACAGCAGTCAGTGGGGATTTTGGAAACATACATTTAAATCAGGGAATATGTATCCCAGCGCATTAGGAGTATGATATGCATGTATATAAAACCGGTTTAAACACGCATTACTGATAACCACGACAGGAGACCTGGTCGGTGCTAGAAAGATGGCTAAGAGGAGGGGGGTATGACTGCCTGTTGGATGATCGTACCAGTCCATATGGGGCTAGCTCTAACAGTAGATCAATACACCCAGTAGGTAAGCCACTTGAGGCTACCCAGAATTTATTGCCTATATCCAGCCTTTACAAATAAAATATTTTAATTTCAGAGACCAGATGTTTGTCTCTATTCCACCCTACAGACTCCTAATACAGGCTCACCATCCCTATTGATAATCGGGGATGGGGCTGCTGTTAACACAGAGCATACATGGATGCAGAGTCGGGATGGGGGAAGTACAAGACAATAATACCAAAATAATTTCAATAATGTTTTAGAGGGAGCATCCATTTATTTCTCTTTTAGAACATTCTTTTTTTATTCCCCGCTGTATCCAACAATCTTTTCATTTCCACTGTTTGAAAAAAAGGACGATTGGGTATTTTCAAACTGAACAAACTATTCTCTACTATATTTTCATTTCAGAGTCTCAATGTCAGTCTGAACACGAACCCCGAAGGAAAAGAGGATCAAGGAACAGAAGCGTAATTGGTCGATTTTGAGATTTATATGAAACTCGGTAATCGGTTTTCCCAACACGATATAGTACGGACGTAATACATACTATAGGAGCTGGTTGATTGGTGTGTGTGTGTGTGTGTGTGTGTGTGTGTGTGTGAGGGTGCGTGAGTTTTGGCTTAACGCCGCATGATAGATATATTAATGGCATGAGAAATAGTGCGTTGCATTTGAATGTTATTCGTGTTAATCTTGTTTGTTTAATTTATCATACCTATACAAATATGTATACAACTGTTATTAAGATGGTGAAATTCAACACCCTCCCAGCGATCAGAGGTCCGTACAAACCTTCTGTTACGATCAGCTGTCGCTTTTTGTTGCCAATGGCCTATCCAGTTGTGGATGAATGATGAAATGAAATTAATTTAATATTGCGTTTAATATATCATCGAGGGAAAAAAATCAAAATAAATGCATTTCCAGCTAAATAATTTCGAAATTTCACAATTAATAATCTACCCTTGGTCAGAAAATCGAGAACGGTACGACAGTGTTCTGGCAAGGAACATTTTTTTAAATGTTTGTTTACTTCACGACCATGTTCGATCATTCGGTGCACGTTAAGTCCGTGCAAGGCAAAAACTCCGGTTACGTGCGTGTGTTGTGCCTGAAGCGATGGAGTTACATAACCGTATATAGCGAGGTAGCCTGGCCTAAATACCGTTACCCAGTTTGACTTGCTGAACATTGATCAAATCACAAAGATGTAGATTAGGGATGTGAAATATGAATTATTGTTCTAAAAAACAACAAAACTCGTCGACTTAAACCACTTAGATGCACGTGAAACAGACACTTATCAGATGTTATTGTTTTTAAAAGAAATATTGTTCACGAAAATAATTTCATTATCGACTGACCGTAAAAAAACCTGACCCCTACTTATTTATTTAGGGTGAGAATCGGCAGCTAGATCAGACACGCGATGAGAATAGACTGTTATTGTTGAAAGAGGGTGAAAATTGGAAACTAACTAGCAGGTGTGATGAGAATAGTCAGCTAGATCTGAACGATGGTGGAAAAGACTGTCAGAGCTGAAAGAAGGTGAAAATTGGATACTAGATATGCATGTGTGATGATAACAGACAGCTAGATCTGAACGATGGTGGAATAGACTGTCAGAGCAGAAAGAGGGTGAAAATTGGAAACTAAATATGCAAGTGTGATGGGAATAGACAGCTAGATCTGAAAGATGGTGGAATAGACTGTCAGAGCTGAAAGAATGTAAAAATTGGAAACTAAATATGCATGTGTGATGAGAATAGACAGCTAGATCTGAAAGATGGTGGAATAGACTGTCAGAGTTGAAAGAGGGGTGAGAATAGACAGCTAGACTTGAAAGATGGTGGAATAGACAGCTAGAGTAGAAAGAGGGTTGAGAATAGACAGCTAGACTTGAAAGATGGTGGAATAGACAGCTTGAGTTGAAAGAGGGTTGAGAATAGACAGCTAGACTTGAAAGATGGTGGAATAGACAGCTAGAGTTGAAAGAGGGTTGAGAATAGACAGCTAGAGTTGAAAGATGGTGGAATAGACAGCTAGAGCTGAAAGATGGTGGAATAGACAGCTAGAGCTGAAAGATGGTGGAATAGACAGCTAGAGTTGAAAGATGGTGGAAAAGACAGATAGAGCTGAAAGATTGTGGAATAGACAGCTAGAGCTGAAAGATGGTGGAATAGACAGCTAGAGTTGAAAGATAGTGGAATAGACAACTAGAGCTGAATGATGGTGGAATAGACAGCTAGAGCTGAAAGATGGTGGAATAGACAGCTAGAGTTGAAAGATGGTCGAATAGACAGCTCGAGCTGAAAGATGGTGGAATAGACAGCTAGAGCTGAAAGATGGTGGAATAGACAGCTAGATCTGAAAGATAGTGGAACAGACAGCTAGAGCTGAAAGATGGTGGAATAGACAGCTTGAGCTGAAAGATGGATGAGAATAGACAGCTAGAGCTGAAAGATGGTGGAAAAGACAGCTAGAGCTGAAAGATGGTTGAATAGACAGCTAGAGCTGAAAGATGGATGAGAATAGACAGCTAGAGCTGAAAGATGGTGGAATAGACAGCTTGAGCTGAAAAATGGTGGAATAGACAGCTTGAGCTGAAAGAGGGATGAGAATAGACAGCTAGAGCTGAAAGATGGTGGAACAGACAGCTAGAGCTGGAAGATAGTGGAATAGACAGCTAGAGCTGAAAGATGGATGAGAATAGACAGCTAGAGCTGAAAGATGGATGAGAATAGACAGCTAGAGCTGAAAGATGGTGGAATAGACAGCTAGATCTGAAAGATGGTGGAATAGACTGTCAGAGCTGAAAGATGGTGGAATAGACAGCTAGAGCTGAAAGAGGGATGAGAATAGACAGCTAGAGCTGAAAGATGGATGAGAATAGACAGCTAGAGCTGGAAGATAGTGGAATAGACAGCTAGATCTGAAAGATGGTGGAATAGACAGCTAGAGCTGAAAGAGGGATGAGAATAGACAGCTAGAGCTGAAAGAGGGATGAGAATAGACAGCTAGAGCTGAAAGATGGTGGAATAGACAGCTTGAGCTGAAAGAGGGATGAGAATAGACAGCTAGAGCTGAAAGATAGTGGAATAGACAGCTAGATCTGAAAGATGGTGGAATAGACAGCTTGAGCTGAAAGAGGGATGAGAATAGACAGCTAGAGCTGAAAGATGGTGGAATAAACAGCTATATCTGAAAGATGTTGGAATAGACAGCTGGAGCTGAAAGATGGTGGAATAGACAGCTGGAGCTGAAAGATGGTGGAATAGACAGCTAGAGCTGAAAGATTGTGGAATAGACAGCTAGAGCTGAAAGATGGTGGAATAGACAGCTAGAGCTGAAAGATGGTGGAATAGACAGCTAGAGCTGAAGGATGGTGGAATAGACAGCTAGAGCTATAAGATGGTGGAATAGACAGCTAGAGCTGAAAGATGGTGGAATAGACTGTCAGAGCTGAAAGATGGTGGAATAGACAGCTAGAGCTGAAAGATGGTGGAATAAACAGCTAGATCTGAAAGATGGTGGAATAGACAGCTAGAGCTATAAGATGGTGGAATAGACAGCTAGAGCTATAAGATGGTGGAATAGACAGCTAGAGCTGAAAGATGGTGGAATAGACTGTCAGAGCTGAAAGATGGTGGAATAGACTGTCAGAGCTGAAAGATGGTGGAATAGACAGCTAGAGCTGAAAGATGGTGGAATAAACAGCTAGATCTGAAAGATGGTGGAATAGACAGCTAGAGCTGAAAGATGGTGGAATAGACAGCTGGAGCTGAAAGATGGTGGAATAGACAGCTAGATCTATAAGATGGTGGAATAGACAGCTAGAGCTGAAAGATGGATGAGAATAGACAGCTTGAGCTGAAAGAGGGATGAGAATAGACAGCTAGAGCTGAAAGATGGTGGAATAAACAGCTAGATCTGAAAGATAGTGGAATAGACAGCTGGAGCTGAAAGATAGTGGAATAGACAGCTAGATCTATAAGATGGTGGAATAGACAGCTAGAGCTGAAAGATGGATGAGAATAGACAGCTTGAGCTGAAAGAGGGATGAGAATAGACAGCTAGAGCTGAAAGATGGTGGAATAAACAGCTAGATCTGAAAGATAGTGGAATAGACAGCTAGAGCTGAAAGATGGTGGAATAGACAGCTAGAGCTGAAAGATGGTGGAATAGACAGCTCGAGCTGAAAGATGGATGAGAATAGACAGCTAGAGCTGAAAGATGGTGGAATAGACAGCTAGAGCTGAAAGATGGTGGAATAAACAGCTATATCTGAAAGATGGTGGAATAGACAGCTAGATCTGAAAGATCGTGGAATAGACAGCTGGAGCTGAAAGAGGGATGAGAATAGACAGCTAGAGCTAAAAAAAGATGTCGGAATAGACAGCTAGATCTGAAAGATGGTGGAATAGACAGCTAGAGCTGAAAGAGGGATGAGAATAGACAGCTAGAGCTGAAAGATGGATGAGAATAGACAGCTAGAGCTGAAAGATGGTGGAATAGACAGCTAGATCTGAAAGATGGTGGAATAGACAGCTAGAGCTGAAAGAGGGATGAGAATAGACAGCTAGAGCTGAAAGATGGATGAGAATAGACAGCTAGAGCTGAAAGAGGGATGAGAATAGACAGCTAGAGCTGAAAGATGGTGGAATAGACAGCTAGAGCTGAAAGATGGATGAGAATAGACAGCTAGAGCTGAAAGATGGTGGAATAGACAGCTAGAGCTGAAAGATGGTGGAATAGTCAGCTTGAGTTGAAAGATGGTGGAATAGACAGATAGAGCTAAAAAAAGGGTTGAGAATAGACAGCTATATCTGAAAGATGGTGGAATAGACAGCTTGTGTTGAAAGATGGTGGAATAGACAGCTGGAGCTGAAAGATGGTGGAATAGACAGCTAGAGCTGAAAGATTGTGGAATAGACAGCTAGAGCTGAAAGATGGTGGAATAGACAGCTAGAGCTGAAAGATGGTGGAATAGACAGCTAGAGCTGAAGGATGGTGGAATAGACAGCTAGAGCTATAAGATGGTGGAATAGACAGCTAGAGCTGAAAGATGGTGGAATAGACTGTCAGAGCTGAAAGATGGTGGAATAGACAGCTAGAGCTGAAAGATGGTGGAATAAACAGCTAGATCTGAAAGATGGTGGAATAGACAGCTAGAGCTATAAGATGGTGGAATAGACAGCTAGAGCTATAAGATGGTGGAATAGACAGCTAGAGCTGAAAGATGGTGGAATAGACTGTCAGAGCTGAAAGATGGTGGAATAGACTGTCAGAGCTGAAAGATGGTGGAATAGACAGCTAGAGCTGAAAGATGGTGGAATAAACAGCTAGATCTGAAAGATGGTGGAATAGACAGCTAGAGCTGAAAGATGGTGGAATAGACAGCTGGAGCTGAAAGATGGTGGAATAGACAGCTAGATCTATAAGATGGTGGAATAGACAGCTAGAGCTGAAAGATGGATGAGAATAGACAGCTTGAGCTGAAAGAGGGATGAGAATAGACAGCTAGAGCTGAAAGATGGTGGAATAAACAGCTAGATCTGAAAGATAGTGGAATAGACAGCTGGAGCTGAAAGATAGTGGAATAGACAGCTAGATCTATAAGATGGTGGAATAGACAGCTAGAGCTGAAAGATGGATGAGAATAGACAGCTTGAGCTGAAAGAGGGATGAGAATAGACAGCTAGAGCTGAAAGATGGTGGAATAAACAGCTAGATCTGAAAGATAGTGGAATAGACAGCTAGAGCTGAAAGATGGTGGAATAGACAGCTAGAGCTGAAAGATGGTGGAATAGACAGCTAGAGCTGAAAGATGGATGAGAATAGACAGCTAGAGCTGAAAGATGGTGGAATAGACAGCTAGAGCTGAAAGATGGTGGAATAAACAGCTATATCTGAAAGATGGTGGAATAGACAGCTAGATCTGAAAGATCGTGGAATAGACAGCTGGAGCTGAAAGAGGGATGAGAATAGACAGCTAGAGCTAAAAAAAGATGTCGGAATAGACAGCTAGATCTGAAAGATGGTGGAATAGACAGCTAGAGCTGAAAGAGGGATGAGAATAGACAGCTAGAGCTGAAAGATGGATGAGAATAGACAGCTAGAGCTGAAAGATGGTGGAATAGACAGCTAGATCTGAAAGATGGTGGAATAGACAGCTAGAGCTGAAAGAGGGATGAGAATAGACAGCTAGAGCTGAAAGATGGATGAGAATAGACAGCTAGAGCTGAAAGAGGGATGAGAATAGACAGCTAGAGCTGACAGATGGTGGAATAGACAGCTAGAGCTGAAAGATGGATGAGAATAGACAGCTAGAGCTGAAAGATGGTGGAAAAGACAGCTAGAGCTGAAAGATGGTGGAATAGTCAGCTTGAGTTGAAAGATGGTGGAATAGACAGCTAGAGTTGAAAGATGGTGGAATAGACAGATAGAGCTAAAAAAGGGTTGAGAATAGACAGCTAGAGCTGAAAGATGGTGGAATAGACAGCTTGTGTTGAAAGATGGTGGAATAGACAGCTCGAGCTGAAAGAGGGATGAGAATAGACAGCTAGATCTGAAAGATGGTGGAATAGACAGCTAGAGCTGGAAAAGGGATGAGAATAGGATGATAGGTCTGACAGGGCTGAGACCTAACAGTCTGTAAGAGCTGAAAAGCGACGAGAATAGGGGTCTGTATCTCATTATTATTCTTGAAAACTCATTCACAACTTTACTCTGAGACCAGGGGCCTAAATGTGTTAGTCTTTTCCATCTCAGCATGAAATGAACCTGATACCTGGCAACAAGAGTTATGTCCCTTTGTAAACCGACATAACTCTTGCAGCTTTTCTTGCATAACACTAATAAAATATTAACCTCACAACAGAATATATCCCATCATCTCGAGGAACAAACCAATGACACAACCCGTCCTGACCTTATTGTAAACGGGAGAAGTGTTTATATTTTCTTGAATCCCCATATAAAGGTGTACACAAGTTGGAAAGAAATTAAACATTCCCAAGCCGTTACATCTTACAAGCTTTGTGCAGCGAAATCTGCAGGTAAATCGGCTACAGTACAGCGTACCCGGATGTGATACAGTCAACTAATGTAATATCTACATTCAGTTCTGCCCAAAGATGTTATGAAGGTAGCGGAATTAGCCGAGGGGATCCGATGTCCAACTGCATGTACGGATACAGCCGACATGGGGATCTGCAGATGTGATGCGCGTGTGCGTATACGCTAAATAACTATTCGCACAGATTGTCTGTTTCATTTTTTTGTGATAAAATTACTAACATGATAATAAGGCTTTAAAAAGTGTGTATATTTACATAACTTCTATTTTTTGACATTTGAAACAAGCTCTATGAAAAGACATCTTGTGATTTTGTGTCTAGACATGTCCATTTGAACCTCCTGTCGTATTCAGAGCCAAAATATGTTCCGAAACAAGAATAACTTCGACTCGAACGAAGAGATTATCAATTTGTTGTGACCACAACTTTCACAAAATATCATCGCAAATCAGATAGTTATAGGTAAATTTTAATTCACAGTGTCTCAACTTTTATGACGTCGAACTTCACACAGCACGCCCGTGGGTGTCATTGTCTTGTCTTAATGACGTCATCAAATTGTGTGCAGCTCTCCGGGGAGAACTCCATCGCAGGGCCACCATGCTGAGGGAATTAGACGATTGTGCCGGCAGCTGCCAGGAGCTTGGTTCATAGAAGGTGGAAACCGTTTCTTCAGCTCTTTATGACTCTCTGTTAATAAAAATCCTGTTACACGGACGATAAAGCTGTGAATACGATTTGCTCTAAATCGCTGCGACAGGGACACGGTCATAAAATGTATCTAAATTGACTCGACCGTTCGGGAACCTGCTGTGCAGTACAAAAGATCGGGCTAATGACATGCTACCTCCGAGTATCTACCGTGTCCATGTTTGTCCAGGAAGCTGTACACACCAGTAAATCATTGTGTGGGCATTTGGTGGACGGCTGGTCACTCGATAGGTATTCCCAGGCAAAGGGTATGAACACTGCAACGTTAACGCTTGGCCGGTTAAACTGACACGAACCAACAACGACTGTGTGCTGATAAATTCAGACTTACATGTGGCCATTACGCTGACATTAAGTGTATATATACCCCGTTGTGTCGAACTTAGGTGTGTCGAATTCCTTGTCTCGAACTCACCTTCTGGTCACTTTGAATTCCATCTATATTTATTAACACATATATTCGTATCTGTCGAACCGGATGTGCCGAAATCTCGGTTGTCTAGAACTCACCTTTAGGTCACTGTGAATTCCTTCTATGTTTATCATCATTTATACTCTGATCTGTCTACCCGGATGTGTCGAATTCTTGGTTATCCCGAACTCATTTGGGAGTCCCAAGTATCCAAATTAAGCATGAAATGACCCTGATGACTCGAATGCAGATATAAAAAGTAATTGTGTTGGAAATAATAGTGTGTGAACTCGAGATGTCCAATTAGGTTTACTGAAGTAGATCAGTGTTGTTTTGGTAAAAGGCTTGTGTATAAATTACAGTTTTGCAAGAAAATTGGGGTTATACATAAGGTTTTTTTCAAACAAGTAAGGTTATGTCAATAAATTAATGAACTAGAATAACATATTTAGGTGAAGGATCGTCGTTAAAGGCCCTTAAATAAATACGCTAAGAGTTAAAATACAAATATTGAAAGCATGAGACGTCTGAATATTATGGCTTAAATATCGACCTCGTTGTGAGACACACTTCACGCTGTATCTCGCTAGGTGGCGTTTCTCACGCGTGTCGTAAAACAGGTGCGCGGGAACGAGAGCGCAGAGGCCGCGTTTGGTCGCAGCCATAACGAGGGCTCCCCTGCTTTTCACTGATAAGACAGAATAACGAGCAAGGATATAGGACAAAAACCCAGCAACTGGCAATATTAGCAATAGATTTATTATCCCCTTATCTCTACTGTGTCATTTTCACTTTAACGGAATACATTTAAACAAACCAGAGCGACACGGTTAGGATTTGGGATGAATACCCTCGCTTGGTTACTGAGGGTCCGTTCTGTGGTAGATATGGACTTCAATGACAGAAGAGGTAGCACTTTAACCTGCTGTAGACAGAAGGTCAGCGGAACAATGGATGGGTGGGTCGACTCGGTACCTTCCTTCATTGTCCCAGATATATATCACGTAGTCGTGCGGAGAAAATCGATAAGAGGATCCCGTAGAACCGTTATGGACGGAGAAAATATTTTCAGCTTCTTGTTAACTGAAGTTAACGTAACATTATGTTGAGTTACACACCATGCGTAAATATTGCAGGTGGGAGTGATAGTAATAGCAGCAGCAACAGCAACAGTAATATTGTGGCGATGGTAGTAGCATCAGCAACAAAAGGAGTAGCAGTAATAGTAGCAGTAGCATCAGCAACAAACGTAGAAGTAGCAGTAGCAAAAGTAACATCAGCACCAACAAAAGTAGTCAAAGCAGTAGTAGCATCAGCAACACACGTTGTAGCAGCAGTAGCATCAGCAACACACGTTGTAGCAGCAGTAGCATCAGCAACATACGTATTAGCAGCAATAGAAGTCGAAGCAGCAGTAGCATCAGCAACACACGTTGTAGCAGCAGTAGCATCAGCAACACACGTATTAGCAGCAATAGAAGTAGTAGTAGCAGCAGTAGCATAAGCAACACACGTATTATCAACAATAGAAGTCGAAGCAGCAGTAGCATCAGCAACACACGTTGTAGCAGCAGTAGCATCAGCAACACACGTTGTAGCAGCAGTAGCATCAGCAGCACACGTATTAGCAGCAATAGAAGTGGAAGCAGCAGTAGCATCAGCAACATACGTTGTAGCAGCAGTAGCATCAGCAACATACGTATTATCAACAATAGAAGTGGAAGCAGCAGTAGCATCAGCAACACACGTTGTAGCAGCAGTAGCATTAGCAACACACGTATTATCAACAATAGAAGTGGAAGCAGCAGTAGCATCAGCAACACACGTTGTAGCAGCAGTAGCATTAGCAACACACGTATTATCAACAATAGAAGTGGAAGCAGCAGTAGCATCAGCAACACAAGTTGTAGCAGCAGTAGCATCAGCAACACACGTATTAGCAGCAATAGAAGTGGAAGCAGCAGTAGCATCAGCAACACACGTTGTAGCAGCAGTAGCATCAGCAACACACGTTGTAGCAGCAGTAGCATCAGCAGCACACGTATTAGCAGCAATAGAAGTGGAAGCAGCAGTAGCATCAGCAACACGTAGTAGCAGCAACAAAAGTAGTAGTAGCATCAGCAACAAAGGTAGTAGTAGCATCAGCAACAGAAGTAGTCGAAGCAGCAGTAGCATCGGCAACACACGTTATAAACGCAACAGAAGTAGTAGTAGCAGCAGTAGCATTAGAAACAAAAATAGTAGTAGTAGAAGCAACGGCAAACATGTAGTAGAAGTAGCAGCATCAACAACAAAAGTAGTGGAAGTAGTAGAGGCATCAGCGACTGTAGACGTAGTAGTAGAAGTGGTAGGAGTATCGGGAATAAAAGGAGTAGAAGTAATACTAGCAGAAGCATCAGCAACAAAAGTAGTCGAACCAACAACAGAAGTAGTAGCAGCAACAGAAATAGTCGAAACAGCAGTAGCGTCAGCAACAAAAGTGGAAGTATCAGTAACATCAGCAACAGAAGTAGTAGTAGTAGTAGCAGCAGCAGCAACAAAAGTGGAAGTATCAGTGGCATCAGCAACAAAAGTAGTAGTAGTAGCATCAGCAACAAAAGTAGTAGCAGTAACATCAGCAAAAAAGTACCAGTAGCAGTAACATCAGAAACAAAAGTAGTAATAGCAGTAACATCAGCAACAGAAGTAGTAGTAGTAGCAGCAGTAGCAGCAGCAACAAAAGTAGTAGTAGCAGTAACATCAGCAACAGAAGTAGAAGTGGCATCAGCAACAAACAATAATAGATATATTATTATATGAATGATCAGTTTAATATTCAAGACCGGTGCTGTCATTTAAGCTGATACATATACAACAAGGTGAGCTCCAGTACCGTGCCGTTGTGCAAACATAAACCTATTTAAATTAGTCCTGATAATAAAAGATCATCCAAGAGTATGATACGTATCCTGTATCAATTACTCACCATAGCTTCGTTTAGGAAATGACGTCACATCTGCATTTGTCTAATCAGTAACTTCGCAAAGATTTTCTCTCGCTGATTGTGTTATTTGATTGGAGTGTTATTTTCAACGCTGCGTTTTTCAAGTCGGACTCAGAACAAAACCATGCTGGCGAATGGTTCCCGGTTTGTTTTTTGCATTCATTATACATTGGATTATCGATGATGATAAAAGTTAAGGTAATATTCTTTAGGAAAAGCGGATTTATTGAGAATGGACGTCAATATTTTTGCGCACTATGGAGATATAAATGGAACAACCGGAGAACACTCTGTTTAAAGCGGATTTACGCAAGGAGTGCACGTCGGTAGACCTCCATAATGTAAACACATAGTGCCCCGCCCATCCTATTATCAGTTAGTCAGAAAACAGTGGTCCGCAAAGGGAACTGAACCGCAAAAATAGGGCTTGTGAGCCAATCAAATGCCATGAAATCTCTTGGGTTTCATTTATTCCAGTATGAAGATACAGCGAGGTAAACGGACCACCTTTAACAATTTTTCAGTTATGCGATACAGAACACGTACAAAGAGAGACTGAAAGAATAACGTGAATATGACACTCCACCACGTGTCATACATTGACTGCCATTGGACAGCGGCATGACACGGGTAAAGGAACTCATCAGCGAAAGCGCAAACATGGTCGCACGCTAAATACTATTAGACATTTGCATGATATAAGATCATTTCTTTATCACGTCATTTATTTCAATTGAATCATATAACACATTGATGAAAGGTGGGATAACCTAGTGGTTAAAGCGTTTGCTCGTCACGCCGAAGTCCTGGGTTCGTTTCTCCAAGATAGCATATCCTGTGGTGGAATATTGGGATATGTCTTGTAGTCATATGGGTACTATATGTGGAACCCACTTCTGGTGTGCCCACATATTGCTAAAAGTGGCGCTGAGCAATACTCACTCACCCACTCCCTGGGCGAGGGCTAGAAGGATGATGTTTTGCCTCATCGGTTGTCACATCATCTGGGCGGCTGCTCCTTTTGACAAGAGCCACATCATCAGATGCCGATCTTTGGTGGTATATTTGGTTTCGTCCAGTCCTAGTTCCCATTTATCGGGTTTGGAATAATTGGCAATGAACTACTTCTGGTTTCTTTCTGGTTTGCCTTTCATTACTTTAGTGTATTCTTGCTAGCTTCTATGTAGCCAGCCATGGCGGAAGGGCCAAGCGCCTGGCCGTAGACCTTGATCCGGCTTCGATTGACCACAAGGTTTCATATAGTGTGAAGTCCATTCTTGTGATACTATTAACAGCGGCGTAAAAACTGACCTCACAGTTTTGGTTGACGTTGGTCTGACTGAGTTGCGTCCTTTAGTTGTTCCATGATGTTATGCCATTTCACATTGTCATGGTGATAAGTTGTCAGCACCCGTTCTAGTGCAATATTTACATTACCTGCATCACATCAGGCTTTCCTTCTTCATGAACCTGACACGTATCGATATAACTGACCGACCCCGTGGTTGAGTGGATAGAGCGCCTGCCTGAACAGCGAAATGCCCGTGGTCGGATCCTCGGTCGCGTCATACCAAAAGACAAAAGATGGTACTTTTAAAAACAACGACTGGTT